TACACGCTAATTTGCCTCCTAGAGTCCTAGTGTCAATTAGCATTATTGTCTTAGACAATCCCATAACATCGTAGGTAATCCACATAATTTTGGGTCGATCACATTGAATGGATGTATATTAAAAGGGATAAATGAATCATATTAGCTAAATAATAGACTGCAAAGGTGCATTCTCTATACATATTGTTAACAAACACAGTCCGATTACTACTCAAAAGGTTAGCAATATGCTTCACGAATAGTCCATGATTATGGTCATCAATCATTCTATTTTTATCATGCCAACTGCTGTCGAGGAGTCTAGGGCGAGGGAAATCTTTCGATACCCTTTTTGTCGTGCAAGAGCAAGACTCAACCCCTCTGCAACACCCTTTAGCTAATTAAGCGCTTGTAATAGAGGAAGTCCCCAGATTGTGAACAAATTCACCGGTACACCCACCCAAGTGATCCCTCAACAACCCTCTAGTACCAACTTGTCCTGAGTTGGGCATCACTAATCCATCGATTTGGATTTGGATCCACCCTTCTGCTAGTGATTCCCTAGTAAGAAGTTGATTAGTCTTTGGTACTTCATGTACAAGAATGCTCCTCTTGACACTCTGTTGTGCTTGCCTAGTGTTGTTGAACCCAACTTCGATTCTACATATAAGAGCAAACTCATAAATAACCCTTACCTTTTATACACTATGAATTCCTTTGTTCCCCATGCTCCTCATTAGTCAGATTTAAAATCATCCATTTTTGGAAGGAAACGTAATCCCAATCTTCGTTTCAATGAGCTTCTACCTATATTTTGTCCAGAATTCCTTCGGTCTCGTGTAAGTTACGAAGAATATGCTCTGTTGTATCTTCTTTGCTGGTGCAGTGACTGCAAATCCCATTCGTAGCCAGTTCCACCTCACTTTTTCATGATCTAGTAAGGAGGCTATCATATAAAAGGGGAGCCAAAAGAAGCTTTTCCCCCCTCTTGCTTGTTAAGTTCACAACTCATTAAACCATAAGTACATATAAAAGTCTTTGAGATTCAAGTAGATGAATGGGATCGTGCTAGACTTCGATTCGACACTTCTCTCTAACGCATATATAGAGCCACACACCCCTCACACGTTATTCACCATCTTCCAACATTCACCTCACTTTTTACATGCCCATAAGTATGTTTGATCTTCAGGGTTCATGTTCCCTTAAACATAAAAATCTTCGAAATATTGAACAAACCTCATGCCTCTATCACCTCACCTATGACTGACCCAAATTTTATTTTTTCCTGGTGTAGAGTGTAATAAGTAATAACTGATTGACCCTCAATTTAGAGTTTTAGAGGATTTTGATATTTGACAGACACCATCATTTATTAGTAGCATGTTACCTCATCCATGACAACATTATATACCCTCACCATCACCACAAAGTGATCGAGACAAAACGAGCACTAAATTGCATATTGATTCTTCTTTATAAAGTTGAGGCTTATGTAAACATGACTCACCTCATTTGTGGGTACCAAATTAAATACTCCATTTTACCCTAATCAACTAACAACTAATTTTATTTATTAATGATTAACCCCTTTCCATTATTAGCAAGTGGCAAGCCTTCCCTTTCATCATCATCTTGTTTTCCTCTTTTGGCATCAACATAGACCTACTGTTAGGGTGAGATATCAAATTTATAATACAAAAATGAGACCAAGCCAAATAGCATAATTAATTACTATTTTAATTGTAATATATCGTAATACAGAATCTCGATGATGAATGCCCGTATAATTATTTATTGATTAATATTTAATAATCATTCCTACACAAATTCGTCACCATCAGTTGGACCTGTTTGAAATAAGGGAGCTTTTGTTTGTGTTTGTTCAATAATTGCAATATATACGGTATACCCCACATACGTGCTCCTTTCTGTGCCTGTTATTTGTTTCCGATATTACGAAACCAACTAATATGTTCACGAAGGAGAAAATAGGTTTAATTTATATCCTTTGACGGCATCGATGAAAGTGTAGGCTTGAATTGAGAAGGGTTTGACGTTCGAGTTCTGATAGTTATTATATTTGCCCATTTAAATCGTTTATATGAATATGATGGATATCTATAAGAGTCGATATTTATCGTATTTAATAGATTTTTCAACCTAAAACAAAAGAAATAGTCATTTTTTTCATATGAGTTTGTTAACAGTATGATGCTCAACTTCTAAGCTTTAGCTCGTGGTTTGAACTTTGTACATATTCATCATAACTAAATCTAATGTTAATATTGAGAGTTGTCATGATCACAAGATCTTTTGGTTGAAGACTTTAATACAATCTCCAGAACAGGTTAATCTAAATAACTCGAGTTGTTAAAATACTTTCAAGTATCAATTTTATACCACTTCGGCACTTCCTTACAAAGTTCGCTTTAAACCCTGACTTCTCCACAAATCATACTAATCAAGTATGATGTTGGTAATGACATGGATTAGAATTAATGAGTAATATTAACTCGAATTGTTGAAAAATGTCGAAATATATTCAATCGCGTCTACTACGTTACGTACCCACTTGTGCCTAGACTGCCCCGTTTTTCTATGCTTTTATGCACAGAGAATATGCGTTGCTGAGCTTTCCTAGCTTCAACAACATAATAATGGCGCATCGGCATCGAGAGAGAGAGAATCAGCGGTGAGAGGGTGACTCTCTATCTATATATGGACATATATATATATTGCAGCGATTTCAAGTTACGAACTGGGAATCGTACACACTGATCATTGCCAGCCACTCATGTTTAATCATTCGAGTTATGATACTGATGGATTTTTGACTGACTCATTCAAGTATTCTAGTGTTCGGATACTTATGATTAGTGGTTGATTTAAGAACATAGTACGATAAAACTGCACAAATTTCAAGCTCATGAATTTCGTTTTAATAATAATATTTCTAATACGCTTGATTTGAAAATTATATGTACAATGCATTATTCTTGCACGTCTAAAACACACGAAAGATCAAGAAACTATTGATTTTCCACATAAACCAATCCAAACATATCCTTAATTCACTTATCGATCCAGCATGCTAAAAGTTTATGTCCCAAAGAAAACTCCGCTTATTTCTAACTATCTCTCGCCCTAGGGAACGAATCCCGCGCATAACCTACCTATCAATAACCATGCATTACCTTACGTACTTACCATTTTTGGAAGATAACTAAATTTTTTCAAATAATTTTAACGAGCTATTACTCTATTGTTTTAAGCCATAGTCTTTTTCTTCACAGATTAAATCGTGCTTTTTAAAAATGACAATGAGTTTGATATACTTTGGAACAAAAACAAATTGAGATATTTATTACTAGTTCATACCATAGTGGTAATACTGCGATACAAAAAATTATACCATATGGTTTGAAACTATATCATGATGATATGAATATACCGTAGTCTAAAATGATTGTATACATGATAGTAGAAATATATAGCGGCCATTTATCACTCTTCATACCACTTAAAATAGAAAACTTAAATCTAGTTATACAATAATCAAGGATTGTGCACTGTATCTTAGACCATCGCTCGACACTCCAATCTTTTGTCACTATTTGAGCATGTTCTGAGAAAGCCCCTCAACTCTGAGAAGCTATATATTGCCTACCTTCGCCAATTTGTTCTGTTGTACCATTGATCTTCACGAATTTGTTGCTTAGTAAAGACTAAAGACAAAAGCATTTTCAGCCACTAGAGACTCTGAACTTACATGATGGAAGAAGTCTGGAGGCACTTTTTTCTTGATGAGAAAGTGAAGTAAACAGACAACACCTAGCTGTATCTGTGTACTACTACTCTCTTTGCCCCTCTCTCTATCGTTTCAATGGCGGTAGCATAAAGAGGGGGGAAAAGCAAAGATTTAAGTGAAGTTTAATTTCCACCAACCAAAAATGAAAACCCACCATTTATGAAGGCCTCAAGCCCTCTTTCGTCAAACTCTCTACAGTAGTCACATGAATTGATGTCAGTTACAAGAGAACTAGATGGTCCGGTTTGAACTGGACGAGTTCATTTGAATCACATATACTTCAAACGAATCTGGTATCATAGTAATTAGTTTATGTATTAAGATTTGCTGGTTTGATTTAATTTATTTGATTAATCGAGATTTTCCTTGATCAAGAGATGATTATAAACCCTGCTCACTCGTCAAACTAACAAACCAATTAGCTACATGGATATTTTTTTATATAGCATAGCTACAGCCTACATGGATATGATGGAGTTGCAAGGGATACTAATGATGGTTTTGGTGGATGATTAAAAACTAGTAGTCAATTATGGCAACTTTGGTGGGTAATAAAAGATCTATGATTAAAGTAGGATGACAAAATATGTTATACTTTGGGCAAACAAGATAGCCCATCAACCAAACTAATTGAATTCTGGTTAGTGATTTTGGTTTTGGTTTTTACCTGGCCAATTTGGTTTGAGCTATTTTGTTCAACGATGAACACTAACCAACCGAATCGAATAAATGGTCTTGAATTCATTCAGTTTAATCAAAGGCATAAAATATTATTGTAAAGAGAGCAAAAACATACACATTGATATCATTCTCGTTACCATTTAGATTTGAAGTAGCACATAAAACGTCGCTATTAATTGCAAATCTCATACATTTACACATCTTAATCAACAATGTGTAAGATATTTGTAACGCTATGATTAACCATTTTCCATACAACAACGATCACATATATTCACATGAGACACATGACCCCATCCTTTGTACAGCTTTTTAGCCCCCTTCTAAAAAAAACCACAAAAAGAGGCTAAAAATATCGTTCGTGTCAGAGAGAGAAAGAAGAGTGAAAACAAAAAGAGGAAAAGAAACGACAGTAACAAAAAAGAAAATAATAAAAGGGGAAAAAAGGCCGTCGATAGCGACATTCTCACAGGGACACGTCACAGCAAACACCATTACTCTTTTTTTTTTTTTGGTGTTTTTATTATTTTTAATAATAATTACAAAACAATCCATCCCCAAATCCGTTCCCGTCACCACCACAAACATACCTACCCGCCGTACCACCACCGCCGCAACCACCGTCGTCCGGCGCCCACAGCGGCGGGTACAGCCACCCGTCCGCCACCGAGTCAACAAAAACGAACTCGCTCTTCAGCTCGCCCCCCAAATCGCCCAGTATCGGCAGCTCTATAATCTCGCTCAACCCCTCCTCATCCTCCTCTGCCATCGACGACAGCGAAGATGCCGACGCCGAAGCCGCCACGGCGGCGGAGGAGGAGAAATCTTCGTCCGTCATCCGCTTCCCGTCGAACTCGTCCATCAGGGCGGCCTTGGTCGCCGCTGCCTGGACGTCGCGCGGCGCGACGGAGGCGGGCCGGGGCAGGGAGCTGACGAGGTCGGGGAAATTGAGGATGGCGGAGCTGCCCTTGATGCAGAGCGCCGCCACGTCGTGTGCGCGCGCCGCCATTTCAGGGGTGGGGAAAGTGCCCAGCCAGATCCTCGACTTCTTGCGGGGCTCCCGGATTTCGGATACCCATTTCCCCCAGCTCCGCATCCGGACTCCCCTGTACACCGGGTGCTTGCTGCAGTCCCGTATCCGCTTCATCTTCTTGCTGGAAGATTCCGGCGAGTCTCCATCGTCGTGATTATCCTGCTCCTGCCGCTGGGAATTCCTCTGCCGCAGGTGTTGTTGTTTAATTGGGGAAGGCGGCGGAGGCGAAGAGGAGTATGAGAATGAGAAAGAGTTGGAGCTGCTTTCCTGCTCTGTATTTCGTCGTGGTTGAGGCATTTCGTCGAACAGGTTTTATGCAAGCCAAGAAAGGGAAAAGGAAGACGAAGCACGTAATGGGTAGTGACCAATGTTACACAGAGATAGAAAGGGCAGTGGGGAAATCAAACTTGTCGTTGGATGGTGATCGACAAATGGAGAAAGGGACTAGGAAGGAGCTAAATAGAGGTGTTGGGGGCAATGATGGGCAAAGCTACTACTTGTAGTAACCCAGTAACAGTAGTGACAGTGTTGTTATCAGTGGGAAATGAAGAAGACGAAGACGGAGAAGAAGAAAGAAGGGCTAAATCTGATAAAAGGGAAAGAAGTTCGTTGGTGGGTAGTGATTTGTTTTTAGCAATTTCTCAATTGGGCATTGGAACAGAGGCAACAGTTTATAAGCAGAGTAGGAAAGGGAAGGGCAGGGCAGAGGGAGACCGCATTCGGGCCAACTGGACGGGGAAATGGGTCGCTCTGTCCCACCACCCCCTTTTGCTGAATGCTACCATTGCACAATCCTGGCCACTCGTGCATCAACCGATCATATAATCGTTTCGGATGCTTAGCAGAAGTAACCTAATTTGATCTCAGTCCAGAGATACTCAGCAAAGTCGTTTGCTTTCTTGTTGATTATAAGAAGGGTTGAAGTGGTGATCATCAACACTTATCTATTTTCCAAACATAATAGTACGAGTTCGACCGCATATACTCATCTCACGATTCGACTAAATCGACCGACTCGGTCGACCCAAGATCAACTTTGCTCGCAAGTTGGGATTGCCACCACCACCATGCAACATCCATCCCATCCCACCAACTCAACGCCAAATAATGGAAGCCAAGCAGTGGAAACTTGTTAACAATGAAAAGCTTTTTCACCTCTTCTTCAGTATTAATGAACTGTGTTTCGAATTGACCGATTTGCTCCTTCTCTGGAGTCTCTCATCCCTGGTTCTGGGCACCAATTATTTCCCCATGCCGACGTAGAAATTTGCATGTCCCACTAGTGGGCTAATGGCTAGCTCCCTGTTTCCTAATCAGTTTACGTTTATAATTAAAAAAATATGTCTCAGGATCTCCTGTGGATCTTTGAACGAATTAATTATTTGATAATGGGATATGGCAGCAATCTTAGGCTTTTCTTTTTTTTTTACTGTCTAATCTCTCAGTGTCACCTTTTTGTCTCTTAATAGGGACGTATTAACTAATGCTATTGGTTTTGTACCATGTAATTTTTGTTTTTTGTTTTCAAACAAAAGCGCCCATACTTATGAGCACAGTATCGGAGATCTTAATCATTAACACACATTTGAGCACGTTATGATGTCGGATAGTTTTTGTTTTCGAATTCTCACAACTCCTTTATCCTAATCATTGATTTAAGCACAAGTTATCAACGGACGTATACAAATTGTAAGTTTAGAAACCAGCTCCTGTTTAACGACCGTATAAGAAATTACTGTAAGAATATTTTTTAAATGATGGACTGATTCATAAGGACCAAGACTACAAAATCACAATCTTTAAGCTTTTTAATTGTGGCGGCAGGAGACCAAAGTACTGTGCGATTAAGTAGTAGTGGCAGTCAGGATTAGATAAACATTACCGATATTTAAAAAGTATTTCTGTACTTTGTAATTTGTATTTGTATTATCTTGTAATGGGTACACGACACAAAGATAGCCAGAAGTGGCTGTTGATATTTTAGTGGTACCGCTGATAGATACTACAAAACAAGTGAACGAGCGGGGGGAGTTTTGTCAAATGGCTTGGCTGGTACTCTCTCGTTGTTTCCAGAGGCCAATAATTATTTTGGTTTTTGGTTCCTGCTGGTTGGCAGAACAACGGAACAAAAAAGAAGAAGAAGAAAAATATTCAGCATAATTAGCACTTGACTTTTCAAGAGTCAAATCGACTCTTTTCTTTCAGGATCAAATCTTGCAAATCTATAGTTTCGAGTAACGCCAATTTGCTTGAATTTGTATCTTATATGGGTTTCGATCGAGGTGACTAATAGACACGCTTTTTACGTAATGTGAATATCGTATTCTGTGGATGTAAATTCGTTTTCTTGTTTGTGTTTTTTTGGTCTTCATTTTACTCATTGTGAGAATCCGAATGATTCAATTTGACCTTCTGAGAGTTACCCTTTCAATCTTCACCCTTCTTCTGCGTTACACGCCAGGGTGAATAACCCATCGATTCAATTCAACGACCCTTTTCCCAACTCTCCGTATATCTCCACCACAGGTTCTTGTCGAACATGATCCATGGAAACTTGCGATAGATAAACGGTCATCATCATCATCATCCATCACCACAGTAAGGAACTCGGATTTCACCTCTTTTTACTCTGTTTTTGTCTTCACCTTTCCTTTTTCAGGGCCTGAACAAGAAAGTGGATAAAAGGCAACAACAAGAGGGAGAGGGGAAAAACATTTCACCTTGTCGTACGAGCAGCAGCAGTTCTCTGCAGGGCCAGCTGCATGCTATATCATCGTCTTCATCGTCGTCGTCTCAACTCTCAACATGGGGTTTGAATTCGACTGACGTGGAGATGTATGAAAGGGAAAGCAAAGCCTCCAAAAGAAAAACAGGGCATGGACACAACACTGACTTGCGAGTACTTAAGTACAAATTTGGCGAAGTAGGTAGCGAAACACAAGCTATAGGTAAGCCTAAGCAGGTAGCTAGGGAGAGAAATCAGTGTTCAGAATCTTATGCTGTAGCTTTTTAGATCCATGATTAAACGATATGATGATTTCCAGGCATCAATTACCAGAATGGCAGGCAGGTTTCATTTATTGCACCTTTTCCAAATTGGTGAATGGGGTGGCCACTCTTGCTAATTCTGTCTGATGTTTCATTCATGAAGCGTATGATCGATCAATCGAACACCTAAAATGAGGCATTGTCACGCCTTGTTTGTCATTCCAACTCAAACCACGTCAGTTGCCCATCTCTTTTCAATTAGTTGAACCCGAAATCGACTTTGAACTCATTCTCTCTGTCACGACTTACCGTTAGATTGGCAATTATGCAAACCGTTTACATCGAAAGATACCAGTCATGGAGTACAAACAGGACAAGTGGTCTCAACTGACCGATGCCAATACCATAAACCCACAATTATGGATGCGGTGACTCATCTTTCTCATTCACATAATTCAATCACGCAAACCCAGAGCTAGGAAACGAAGAAAAAAAGGGGAAAGAAAACAAAGAAGCTGTCTCCTTCCCCCTTCACAATCAATAACAATCAGCAATGGCCTTTGTCTGGCCCAAATGGATACCATGTACTTTTCCCACCCTTTTACCTCATGCAAGGTCTTCCACTGGCAGCAGGAGAAGAGGACCATAGCAGCACTCTAATGTATTAAAAATATCTCGTCAAGACTCGGGCATCCGAAGATTATACGATATCATCCCGTATGAAACAAGTATCTCTGAAGTAGATGCCTAACAAAATCTCGACCTAAGTAAGTTACCGATAACAAATCGTCCTTCCAGCGACGAGCATGACAAGTCTGGACAGTTTATGGCTATAAACAATGAGTAGCAAAGACAATGAAAGAACGGGGATATGACATGTCAGCAAACCCTGAGGGGTTGACTCAGTGGTAGTAATATGGAGATGATACAACACAACATTCATAAGGTTCTAACCTTTAGATCCAAGATATGATATGTCAACCGCGTATCGATAAGGTGTATGAAAACTGCAGAAGCTTTCATCACACATCATCAGATCCACGGCAACACAAACAAGGGGCATGATGAACATGAAGCCAAAAACCAACCCATCACTTATGTTTTTCACTCCATGTTTCTTGTCAGTGGGTGAAACTTCCATCAGCTTCTGACGATGGGACTTGGATCCCAGAAACTTATTGAAAAGTTTCAAAAACGGATCAGAGGAAAACTTTAAAGTCATTCCATCTATATGACACTAGTAGTAGCAGCAGTAGTCTTTCATGTAAAGCGGATTCATCGCTTGTTTCGTCACATGTACTGCCTCCCATGCATACAAAAATATATATGGTCTCAACCCACATTGAATTTCAATGTAATGCATAGTACTGTGATAAATAACTATGCCCCCACCACCAAAGATCTAAACTTTTTTCACAGTATACAGCTGGTAGTGGTGGTTCCCTTACCTTTGCTCACGTCCAAACAAAAACCAATTAATACTCGTGTATAGCGATAGATAGCAGCTGCTGTGATCTCCTGTAACTTTACTCCCACCACCACCTGTATTACCATTTCCCCATCATGAATTGAAATGTGAGAAGAAGATGAAGAGAAAGCAGACAAACGAGACATGGGTCGTATTTATAAGTGTAGGAAAATCTTACTTACAGTGGTGGTTGGCTGCATGCGAGAATGGAAACCGGCTACCTGGAATATTTGCAGCCTCTGGCATTAATGTTGTATATACGTATAATGGACTGTATTTTTGCGTGTACACAATCTCTAAAACACATGGCCAGTTGAGGAAGAGATGGAGAGACATAACTGCAGTCTTCTTCTGCAACACCTAACAATAGAGGTGGGTTCCAGAAGAAAAAAAAAAAACCTTGTGTTTACCCAAAGAGTTCTATAACAGCAAAATCTCCCTCGATATGGAATCCTTCCTACTTGCTATAGATCAATGGCTATAGTATGCAAAATGATACATGATTGCCCAAGCAAGGTACAGGGGTCAAGACCCCATTTAAAGGAGAGGCATCTCATTCAATGGCTCTATATGTCATAAATTTGTCGATGGACTCAATAAATATTCAGACCATTGCCTGTTATACCTGCTGCAGTCATTAGAGATAAAAAGCATAGACTATCTGTCGCAGATAACAATGCTACAGTTATGGATAGCCAAGCAAGTGGTGAATAGTAAGCTTATTGACAAATAGTATACAGGAAGAGTAGGGAAAGAGAGGAAGAGTTCTGTTAAAGAGTGTTAAAGTAGTAATAAACTTTAACTCTATGCATTCACTCAGACATTCCATTCCTCATTCACAAGTAACCCTCCAAAGAGGTTTACTTGATTGTAAGTTCCAATTCATGAAGCAGATCATCTACAGCAGGTCATTCAGAATAGGGAAAGGTTATCGTAGATAGATAAGAAACACATCTAATAGAGAATAAAGGCAAGCAACGAACAACTGCTCCATTCAAGTCATCAAAAACTGAAATGGCAAACAACAAAGGTGAGACAACAATGCTTGTTAGGATGGCACAACCAGCTGCGATTTACCAACAAGCTTAAATGGCAGGACATGAAAAGTACCCATTATTGTCTCTGTCAAGAGCAAAGCAGAACAAGAACAAGAATTAAGAAATTTAAGGGTGCTTATATAATTTCTGTTCTAGAGTAAAAAGAAATAAAAAGATAAAAATTGTCTTGATCTATGAGGTTCCAAAGTACTTCACAACCAACAACACTTGAAGATTGAATGCTTTCCCTGTTCCAGTCTAAACTAAGCGGCTATCCAGAATCATGATGTTTTCGTGCTTACCCTTTCTTCCTTTTGGCACTTAATACGAGATTATCGTCACCATCACTATCATCGACTAGTCTTTTCTTGGATTTTATATCACCTTTGTTTGATGATGCTTGTTGCTGCCTGTGAGAAGAAATCTCGGGTTTGCTTGGCGTTTTGGGAGATTTAATGGGAGTGCCCATGCGTTGCATCTTTTGCTTTCTCTGTTTCTTCTCGTATGCCTTCTTAGATCTCTCAGGGGACAGCAGTCCATGTTCCATCATCCTTCATATTCAACCAATTTAGCCTCAGATTACTCATACTTCCAAGAATTTTACTCCCATCTAATTACATTTCATTTCTATCATGTCCTAGGTATCTCCTTAGGATAAGCGTTCCTACATTTCTGCATTCGTAAAGAGAAAACTAAGAGAAGTCGAAAGATAAGAGAACCATGAAACATACCAAGAAAGAAAAACAGCAAACAAGACCAGCAACTCACTCAATGTGCAAGGCACAAACCATCAACCAACTTATGGTTTTCAGTCAGTAAGTCGGATCAACATAGGCGAAGAAATATATAAATGTACAATGATGAAACTATAAATGAAGGCCAACAGAGGAACTATCTCAAATAAAGAGGGAAGTTAAAAATTGCAGGAAAGACAGATTAACCACAATTAAAAAGAAAACATATGAATAGATTTCTATCCCACCATCCATCAGTCTCACCTCCATCTAATAAAAGCTCCAAACTTTAAAGAAGTGAGGCGCCTTGTAGGAGAGTTATCAGGCAAGGATGACTTGTGATTTGTGATCATATGAGTCATATGATGTACTAGACAATTTAAATGCAAGAAAACTTCCCTCAACTGGCCAATTTCCGATGTTACAATGGCCAAGGGAAGAAATAACATCTTTAAGCTAGTTTGAACTTTGTTTGAGCAATTGAAGTGAGTTAGTCTGTTCAAGGGCCAAAGTATTAAAGCAGAAGCATCTCCTAGGTGGGAAAATGAAAAGCAGCGAGATCCAGCTCAAAATTTCATTCATTTAATAGGCTCAGGCTCAACAAAGATCCCTAACGAGAATGGAAGGAAACCATACCAAAATTCTGCCATTTCACTAGACGGAATTTGTTCAGACAACGACTCGTAGAATATCCTAACAGGCTCTCTCTGCAAAAGAAGTGAAAGCAAAATCAACATGATTGCGCATAATTCGTACATAACCCTGAGCACAAAGACAGAATGTTATGAACATGAAACTACTCAGAAGTCAGAACCTCTTCAGGGGGGTCATATTTCTGGCCAGCCAAGGAGAAGGCTTTCTTCACTCTGAGAGTTTTGGTAGTCGTGGCAGCTTTCGATGTACTCGACATTGTTGATTTCACCTTCACATTCGATAAACAACAGGGTAAGTTATAACCAGTCCGAAAATAGTTGAATCAACAAGAACGAACAACTTATCAAACAAACAAAGCCTGATCAACATAAACCAATTGGGGAACTCAGCTCAAAGGGTAGAAATTTAGCTCAAACCCAGGAAAAAGCAGACGAGATTCAGCTGACCAATCAAAGTTATACTGATTGAAATCGTCAAACCAATCGAATCTCAAACGGTTGAACAGAGAAAAAGGAGGGGGGGGGGGGGGTGTGGAAAGGAGGGATATTTGAGATGAGTACAGAAGTTGAAACGGAATTGTTCTTCGAATCAGCCAATTATCTGCTAGAGCTCTCGATCTTCTTAATCCTTGAACCATCTTGATTGCTGCCGCCGCCCAGCTATACCTTGGCCACGGTTTGCTTCGTCTGTGTGGCCATCTCTTCTCTGCAATCACAAATTCACAATCTTTCTTCCCATCGCCGCCTACCAAATTATTGAATTCACAATCGCCATCCTTCAATCTGCAGTCGAAAGGAAGGGGACGGTAAAAAGCTGTTCGTTTGTCGTAAAATCTGCCGCCAATATTTTACTGTTGGGTTGTAACTTGTAATCTTCAGGCGATTGCGTAACCGGAGGTTGAAAGCCGCCGGACAAGGGAAATACCAGATTTGACCCTATACGATCTCAGTAGTTTGTGTGTTCAGGCGATAGTAACGAAGGCTAAAGTGGTACTTGGCGGTGATGGTCACCGTAAATCTCATGCCTTTTTTGTTTTGTTTTGTTTTGGAGGACGGGACTGGATAAATTGACGGTAGATGGATCGGACGGCAGATAAGGGAGGTGCAGAGAATCCACGGTGGGAGGCGTTGTCAGAGATCAGGACACGTGTACGTTAACGGATGTGTCTGTTACTCTGTTTTCAGTTTCTTTCCCTCTCATTTTTTTCAAGCAAAATAGCATCTACAGGCTACAGGGGTGATGACAAGTGGTTAGCTTCAGTTTTGACGAGTGAAGCTTATATGGGACTTTTGGTGTTTTTTTCACTCTATTATTAGAGTATTAATAGAGTTGTCTATTGCACAAAAGACTTTTTCATCTACATGTCGATTTGTATTGACTGTTATTCGTTTCAATCTCTTGTACTCAACTATCGATTTACAATCTATCTATGGCAAAAAGGAAAAAAATAGCATCTACAAGACTACAACCAACATCACCTTAACGGTTAAGGTCCACTGATTATTACTCTGTTATTTTTTTTGTCATTTATTGGTCAATTAATTATAAAAAAAAAGAAATTTAGATGGAAGAATACGTTTGTTGCATTTTTATAATAGAAGTATACATTTATAAAAAAAATGTTTGAGTAATATGCTTATTAACTTGCAGTACAGGGAGATATAAAGTGCTATTAACCCTAACTACTTATAATTAAAAAAAATTCCCTCGAATCTACTTATAATAATTTTATGAAGTCTTAAGTCGTTAATATATAATTTATGCGGACAACCGTCAAGCCCAAATATAATTATCCTGCTAAAACAAAATTTCCATTTCAAAAAAATTCTTATCACCTCTAATATATTTACCTAAATTTTATTTTGACCAGTTGAGTAGAATTTTCTTGTGAAGTTTAATAGAATTTCTAATTAAGCGGATACATTTTCCAAATTATTCCTGCTAAAGTTTTCCATATATAACACAACAATTAAATCATTTCCATCACATGACCAAAATGAATATCCCATTCTCCCCATGTTTACTTTCTTCCCAATTCTTTATCAATCAAACCCCTATAAATACCCTTGTTTGGTCTCAATGAGGAAAACATTCCAAAGCCAAATAGAACTTTGAATCAGTACAAACAAAAACTAAGAAGCAGTAATCTTGATCATTAGCATGGCCAGTGGAGGAGTGAGAGTTGGGTGTCTTGTAATGCTTCTGGTGGCGATGTTGGCTCTCAGCAACAACGTCTCAGGTACTCGAAATTTTGAGAATCGTTTGAGTAACGTGACCATCGATTCGATATGTTGCAGAGAGTACTATAACATGGGGGAGTGTATTCCTGGGCAGAACGACGCACCTGGCGGGAACTGCTATGAGTTTTGCATTCAGGAGTGTAAAGGTGCACTCTGCAAGCAAACCTCTGAAGGCCACCACTGCCATTGTCTGTGTTGATGATGGAGGGATATTGACCAATATATTCATGCATTCTTTTTACCTATAAAATTGTTGGCCAGATTTGAGTAATAGACTCTTGATGTATTCATTTTGATTTTGATGTAGTATGGAGCTTTAAAGTGATACCATTAAGGATTGGTTCGAGATGAATATATCACAATAATAAAACATTAGAAGCATTGTTTTCTTCTTCAATGGTTAATCTTTAAGATTCAATCAAGCCAAATAAAATCTAATAAAATCATCGTGTGACCAGTCTATTTATCATATCTATTGCCGATGCTACGAGCTATATCTAATAAAAAAAACCTAAAGGCATAGCAAGTAGCAAGTCACTTCCCTTAAAAAAAATATACAAAAAAACAAGTAACAAGTCACTCATCTCTATACACTATTCTTTCTATCAACACGTTCAACTTCATAGTTCTTACAATTTATTTGAACATTAGTTTTTGGTTGTTCACCACAAAGTTAACAAGTAATTTGAGCATTTTATATAACGAACGTCAAAAACTTATTGGTATCAATGAAATACATTTTTCTTAACAACAGCTAGCGGACACTCCTTCGAATGATATCACCTTTACATTCGTCAAGGACAAAAAAGTAAAATGTTAACCTTCACCAGATTATTACTCTGTTATTTTTTTGTCATTTATTGGTCAATTAATTATAAAAAAAGAAGGATAATGTCTATTTTTTATTCAAACCTTTACCAGATTCTTTTATATTATTCAAACTATTAAAATATTATTAATTAGCCAAATCTTTCGTAATGCATCAACATATTAGCTATTTTTACATTATTTTCAATAATTTTGTAACTCTTTTTTTTGTTCAAATACTAAATTTTGGAATGTTAACCTTCACGTGTCTCTTCCAAATCAGTATCATGTTGCCAAATCAATACTACTAACAAAATTGCTAATTGAAAGTTAACATTTGGCTAATTGTTAGTATTTCGATAGGTTTGGATAATATAAAAGAATCTGAAAAAGGTTTGGATAAAAAATAGACATTACCCAAAAAAGAAAATTTGGATGAAAGAATACGTTTGTTACATTTTTATAATAGAAGTATACATTTGTAAAAAAAAAATGTTCGAGTAATATGCCTATTAACTTGCAATACAAGGAGATCTAAAGTTCTATTAACCCTAACTACCTATAATTAAAAAAATTCCCCTCGAATCTACTTATAATAATTTTATGAAGTCTTAAGTAGTTAATATATAATTTATGCGGACAACGGTAAAGCCCAAATATAATTATCCTGCTAAAAACAAAATTTCCATTTCAAAAAAATTCTTATCACTTCTAATATATTTACCTAAATTTTATTTTGACCAGTTTAATAGATATTTTTTTGTGAAGTTTAATAGAATTTCTAATTAAGCGGATACATTTTCCAAATTATTCCTGCTAAAGTTTTCCATATATAACACAACAATTAAATAATTTCCATCACATGACCAAAATGAATATCCCATTCTCCCCATGTTTACTTTCTTCCCAATTCTTTATCAATCAAACCCCTATAAATACCCTTGTTTGGTCTCAATGAGGAAAACATTCCAAAGCCAAATAGAACTTTGAATCAGTACAAACAAAAACTAAGAAGCAATAATCTTGATCATTAGCATGGCCTGTGGAGGAGTGAGAGTTGGGTGTCTTGTAATGCTTCTGGTGGCGATGTTGGCTCTCAGCAACAACGTCTCAGGTACTCGATATTTTGAGAATCGTTTGAGTAATGTGACCATCGATTCGATATGTTGCAGAGAGTACTATAACATGGGAGAGTGTATTCCTGGGCAGAACGACGCACCTGGTGGGAACTGCTATGAGTTTTGCATTCAGGAGTGTAAAGGTGCACTCTGCAAGCAAACCTCTGAAGGCCACCACTGCCATTGTCTGTGTTGATGATGGAGGGATATTGACCAATATATTCATGCATTCTTTTTCTTATAAAATTGTTGACCGGATTTGAGTAATAGACTCTTGATGTATTCATTTTGATTTTGATGTAGTATGGAGCTTTAAAGTGATACCATTAAGGATTGGTCCGAGATGAATATATCACAATAATAAAACATTAGAAGCATTGTTTTCTTCTTCAATGGTTAATCTTTAAGATTCAATCAAGCCAAATAAAATATAATAAAATCATCGTGTGACCAGTCTATTTATCATATCTATTGTCGATGCTACGAGTTGTATCTAATAAAAAAAACCCAAAGGCATAATAATTAACAAGTAGCAAGTCACTTCCCTTAAAAAAAAAAAAACAATTAGCAAGTCTCTCATCTATACACTATTCTTTCTATCAACACATTCAACTTCATAGTTCTTACAATTTATTTGAACATTAGTTTTTGGTTGTTCACCACAAAGTTAACAAGTAATTTGAGCAGTTTATATAACGAACGTCAAAAACTTATTGGTATCATTGAAATACATTTTTCTTAACAAACAGCTAGCGGACACTCCTTCGAATGATATCACCTTTACATTCGTCAAGGACAAAAAAGTAAAAATTACATTAAAAAAAAAAGGACAACACAAACATAAACACATTTAAATTCAAACACCGAATTCTATTCTTCATAATAAATATAGAAAACACGCTGAACATAACAATAGGCATCGACCTGCATCCAACTGAGTCTGCACCTGCTTTTAGACAACATGATCACCACCGGGCCTTGCACAAACACAACAACAGGCCACTGCTCTTCGTCCGACCTTCCACAACTTTCTCCCAAGCCAGATGAGAAACCGAAACGTGTCGAGCAGGCTAATCACCAGAGTCAGCACCAACCAGGCGCCCAGAAGTTTCAACATCACCCACCCGACTCGAACTCGCGCATCGTCCTTAGTGGGCGTCACCAACAGCGCGCCAAACGCAAAAGCAGCCGTCATGCAGCCCATGGCCCAGCAAATCGCTTGCGCCAGCAGCCAGACGAAGAACCTCTTCCTGAGAGGGAACCCGCCGATGATGAGAAGCATGACGCACAGGGACGCGCCAAACGCCGTCGTGTTGAGCCCCATGAAGATGTAGAGCACTTCCGGGTCTCTGTAAGCGTGGACCGACGTCCCGGCCATGCACAGGGCGCTGTTCGTGTCCTCGCAGCCGAAGCCCTCGGTGGAGTTGGAGACGTTCTCTTGCCACACGCCGCCTGGCGGGTTGGTTGCGGCATGGAAGCTCATCTGCGCTATGAGGGCGGCCACTACGAGGAGCGATCCTTTCATTTCGTCGATCCACTTGGTGTCGTAGTCCAGGAACTTCTTGAACCGTCGCCCCATCGACTTCATTGGCTTGCAGCAGCACGACTTGTTGGCTGCTGATGATGTGGATATTTGCAATATTGAAGGTTTTTGTGGTGGAAGACGACCGATGCTAGCAGTCATCTCCTTGGCTCGTTTACCGCCTGCTTCGACGAGGAGGTCTCGGATTCGTAGGCTCTTGAAGTCCTTGGGACATAGCTCCAGGCAGTCCAAGGCTGTCGAGCCAAACCCATTCAAGGAATTCACTGCTGCTCCCATGCTGGGTAGTGAAACCAGGTAACTTGTAGTCTGAAAAAAAAAAGGCATGCATGCATGGGATTAATTTGACTTGTGAGAATTTGTAGCTAGACAAATGAATCGGTCAATGCCTACTTAATTAATTATATCCCTCTAAGTCTGCATGTCTAGCCTTAGATATTCACTGATCGGGTTTGGTCGGGCCTAACTGGTCGGGTTAGGTCAATTTGTCTACATGGTTAGTTTAGTATTGAGTTATCTTTTGCTTTTTTAACGGTTTAGGGTTAGGATACTTTTTACTCCTAGCCATGACGCATATCAACAATTAGTGATATGAAATTGCTCATGTCAACATGTTTGTAAAGTTGTAGCGACAAAAAGTACGTACCTGAACTTGCTTGAACATGGCAGCTGCATGCAAAACGGTGTTCCCACCTTCATCTCCCGACCTGAAGATGGATTCAATCACATCCTTCTTCCCGCCGCTACTCACCATCATCTCAACCAACACCTTCAGGGCCTCCAGATGGCCGCACTTCACGCACAGGTGCAGAACAGTCTCCCCACCGTCCAGCTTCACAAGCACAGACTCCGGCCTCGCACCGACCAGCTCTCTGACGACATCGTTTCTCCCCCTCATCGCCGCCAAGTGGAGAGGAATCCTGCCGTCCACGTCGCGAACCAGGCAGGCATCCGAGCCCACACCGCCTGCAGTGTCCAACAACGCCCTGACGAGCTCCACGTGGCCGGCAGCGGAGGCCAGGTGGAGCGGGGTGCAGTTGGACGCGTCGACCTCCACCGCCATTCGAGGTTCGTGGCGGAGAAGCGCCCTGCTGAAGTTGATGTGGCCAGCGAGGACGGAGATGTGGAGAGGTGTTTCGGTGAAGGAAGAGAGCGGGAGTTTCTTGAGGAGCAAGGTATCCCTCCGGAGCAGGCCTTGGAGGGTTTCGGTGTCGCCTCTCATTGCGGCGTCGTAGAGGGCCGTTGCATCGACTTTGTTGGTTGGGTTGATCATCTCCATTAATTCTATTGTTGCTTGTTCTAATGGTGGGTGGTGGACTGGTGGCTCTCTAGCTAGACAATGCATGCATGGTCTTTTATATATAGTGCCACCTAGTTCATCGTCACGTGGGGCACAAACAAACAGACAAAAGGGGGAAACAAGTTGGATGCCAGCAGCCAATGGGATTCACCGGCGGGTTGTGGAGGAATGGAACCCGCCGCCGTGGGATCCACCGGCTGCGGGAAAATGTAACCTAGCTATGAGGTGCATGGTATTTTATATAGCCACGTGGGGTACAAACAAACAAAAGGGGGGAAACAAGTTGGATGCCAAAAGCCAATGGGATTCACCGGCCGGTTGTGGAAAAGTGTAACCTATGACGTCCTGCATATTTCGTCTGATATATAGTAAGTAAGTACAGCTTTAAGGCAACGTTGACGACGACGAAGACTTCACCCGAAAATATAATGCTTACTATAACACCATAGGTTACAGCTTTAAGACAACGTTGACGACGACGAAGACTTCAAGGGATATTTCTCACCCGAAAATATAATGCTTACTATAACACTAAAATATTGGAAAAAGTTTTTGAACTTGGCCATTGATATATATATACCTTCGGAATCTACTTTTTTCTTTCAAATCAAGAAGGCTCCTGGGAAGCTGTTGGACGCTACTTTTGTTGACCGTGGATGCCGTCCCAAAGATACTTCCTGACCACCAGCACATTCAGGGGCGGAGCTACTTAGAGGATAGGCCCACCCGGGAATAGTCTCGGCCCCTACGACTGTAAGGATATTTAGATAAAAGTTGAATAAGTAGTACTCGGCCTATACATAGTCTCATGAATAGTCATGTGGTCTACTGGTAGCTAAGCTAATTTTTAGTTTGAAGTAAACAGGTTCGATCCACAACAATTGTAAACCCATTCCTTGTTCTTTTTTTGTTACTTTAATCCAACTACAAATGAAAAAAAATCAACCTCTACTTAGTTCATTTGGGAATTTTAGCTGTCTATAGAAATTATATGATCTTTTTTTTTATCTATGTCGGGATCAATAGAAATATGATTGTCCAAGGAATTCTATTTTGTAGATAGGTTGATTTGTCTTCTTCAAACTCTTCCAGTTTTTCACTGCTACATGTGATCTTGCATATTTTTAGGTATAAAGATAGTGAAGAATAGATTGCGAAACAAAATAAATGATGAGTTTCTTGTTAATGATTTAGTTATTTATATTGAAAGAAAGATAACTAAAATTTTTAGTTTAGATGTTGTTTTGTGATATTTCAATGATCTCAAAGGATGTTTGTATACTTTAAAAATAACTAAAATAATTTTTTACTTTTATTTACATTTAACTATTTTCGGCCCACCCGGTCTCAAAATCCTGGCTCCGCCCCTGAGCACATTGGTTTCTGCGACGAAAGGTATCAGCTCGGCCTTGTCCCAAAAATATACAGTCACCAAAGGGTCGGAGCTTCAAAACCAATATTGTCAGATCCGAATCGGAACATCACCCAGTATCGTGAATGGTTCATACTTTAGTAGTTCAACTAGTATTAGAATATTAAAAAACCATTAGAGAATTGATACCTTATTATCGGTAAGATCATAAATAGAAGACATATAAAGTAATAATTAAACAATTTTATGGCTAAAATGAAATAAACTTTGCAAGTATCATTTAGTCATTTGATAATTAGAATATATAAAGCGCCTAATTGCTTAAGAGGTTTAGTCGGGCGCGGACGCGTTCACTGTAATTATGAATTTTTTATTTTAGACATTCTAACTCAGTGTTATTTTATAATAAAACTGTGTATAACGAGAAAAATGATTCATATGAACATATTCAAATCACTATTCTAAATTTGGCTTAGAAATTATAGCTCCAATGATTCTGGTCTAACAAATAAACAACGAAACCTAAAAGACTAAAAGAAATATGAGGTTTGTTCCCTTGAAAATTTAATAAAGCAGTTGGTGGAAATAGGATAGACGCACAATTGATTTGTAGATTGATTAGTCTAGTCTTGACGTTGCCCGTTTCAACAACTACTACGTAGAGAACCTTTTCAACAATGAAACATGTGAAATCTGATTTGCGTGCCTTAATGAGCAATGAGTTTCTCGACTGTTGCTTAACAGTTTATTTGAAAGAGAGTACTCTATTTTTATGTATGTAGACTCCATTATCAATAAATTCGCTAATAAAAACACCGTCGTGTACAATTGACATTGTATAAAAAAATATGATTTTTTTTTATGATATCTAATTTTCTAACAAAATGCGATCTAGTGCTCTATTATGTCCTCTATCCGTCCTTGCTCTGGGAAGCTGTTGGATGCTAGCTTTAGTTGATTTTCTCTTCCAGTTTCTTGATCGACCCTTGCTCCCATCTCAGGTCGTACATATATGCGGCACACTCTCATCATTAGCTTGTGTTTGTTTTTATCATGATCCAAATGCTAAATCAGCTGGTTTTTGGACTCGAAAGCTTCAAATTCAGATTCTAATTAATTAGATTCACATTTCGCGACGGGTCTCAAATATTAGTTGCCAATCAAAGTTCCGTCCCCAAGGATATTACATGACCACTGGCGAATTGGTTTCTGCGACAGAAAGATATTAGCTGTTCCGAAAAATATACCGTCACTAAAGGGTCGGAGCTTCAAAACTGATTTCATTCTGCACTTGCAGAGTACCTTTGCCCCGGTGGACGAACTGAAGGAAGCCGTTGGAGTGACGGCCGTAGAGGGTACGATTCGGGATGATTTCTCCGAGGGAGTTTATATCAATATAATTTTCAAACTCACTTATTTGATTTGTAGATAACTAGATAATTGGCCCGCGCGTTGCGGCGGGATTCTATATAATATTTTCTTCTTGATTTCTTGGATCATTTGTGATATATAATTTTGTAAATGAACCTTTACATTTGCCACATAAATAATTCAAACACTAAATCAGTTTGGAGAAAGATTATGAGATTATTTGGTTGGATGTATTATAGAGGCGAAATTTGGAAAATAGAATGTTGAATTATTCAATTAATCGCATAAATTTTTGTTAATAACTTTAATATGTTTGAGTATTGCGATCTCAAATACTTAGAGATAGGAAGTATAGCAAAACTCGCTCTATAAAAGTAGGTTCCCAACTTCGAAGTGTCTTTTAAACCTTTCTTACATATTTTTAAGCCTGAATACATTAAACAAAATGATATATTTGTAAAATATTAATACAACATCTTACAAATACATTGAACCAAAGCCAACAAAGTTGATTTTGTAAATCAGTCTATTTTTTTTATAACCTAAATGGCAGGATTTGGGAGATAATTATTGTTATAATTTAGTTATTGAGGAAATTAACATGATAGAATATATTAAAAGCATGACTCTTTAAATTGACTTAATTTTTTATTATAGAATTATATGTAGTTTTCTTTATCAGAAGTCACTTGTACTGTTGTACATCACTCGGCTGGATCTGATCAACTAAAATTGACTCCACCTATCTTATAATGAAAACTGACCGACGTAGTATCAAGTTATGTGATTAGTAAATATGCACTATTGAAATTGACATATTGTCATTTTAAATAACTTCTTAAATTAATCTAAAAGTATAAAATAACTTTCATTTTTATACAATTTTCATGTTAGCTATAAATATATTATAGAAATGCAATGATTTGATACTTTGTCTAACTTGATATTAGCATCCGTGATGTGATAATAAAAAATTATGTATTACTTAAGATTTGGATCGAACCATTCTACCATTATGTGTTTAAAAATAAACCCCTGAATATTTTTATTTTCTTAATCCACAAATCTTCTTTCTAATCTCATAGGCTCCCTTCCCTTTCACTACACCAAGACCCATGACCTTCTACACGTGGAGGAGATGAATGACAGGTGGCAACAAATGTCAATCAGCCGAGCTCGATACATTCCTTCTCCTCTATCTTTGTGACTGTTCTCCTTGCTTTGATTTCTTTTATCTGACATCAATAATCCTAAACGAACTAAAGAGAATCGACCAGTTTCATGCAATTGGAATCCAAATCCCCTTTTCTCAATGAGTGAGCAAAAGTGCTGGTTCCTTGCTTCTGATCCCTCTCTTATTCATCTTCATGTCGAAATCATCGACTAATTGTGGTTGCTTCTTCCAATTACCTTTGATCATGATTGTTACCCTCTTATTTTGATTACCCAATACCATCGGTAACAAAAGAGAGAGCCCCAAGTTTGTTACTTCAGCACGACGGTTCTGGATTTTGGGATTGGGAAGCTTGTGAATCCGCTGGGGAATTATTATCCATAAACAACAGTCAATTAATTGAACATGCAATCCGCTGGAGGCGTACAGAAGACGATAGTGTGTCACGAAGGAATTCGCCAGGATGAGGTCGAGGAATCGATGACGGCGAAGCGGTCTTTGATTTCCCCTTCTCTCCCCTTCCTCTTCTATAGGATCTCCGACAATGCAAGGATCAACGCCAAGACGACTGTTATAGTGGGAAAACAGGATGATTATTAACGGTGATCCTATCATCGACGATTTTCCTAGCCGGCGGCGGGCCCCCTGCATCCATCTTCCGAACCCATTGGAGCTAGTCTGAAATAGGGGAAAACACGATCCATCACAAACCCCACTTTTGCCAGGATGAAGACCGGAGAAAAGCCGAGAGAGAGATCGGGAGAGGGAATAAGGCGATCCATCATTGACCCCAGCTTCGCCTGGAGGTGAAGAAGGGAAGAATTGATGACGGCCACTTGCCTCGCCGCCAATCGGTTGACGGGGGGAATCATCGGAGTAGGTAAGAGTCGTAAAAAAAAACATGAGTTTGGAAAAAAGATCGCCTGGATCGACAGTCAATATCCGCATGAGGCTTATGGTGTACCTACCCGTAGCCCACTGGACCCCTTAAGTAAACTGGCCAATTAATTATACTAGATAAATGGCCCGCGCTCTGCGGCGGGTACAAAATGAATTTTATAATTTTTATATAATTTAGTTTTGTGTAAAAAAAAAAGAAATGATAATGCAGTTCTTCAAATTCTTTTCTTTAACAAACTTGACTGAATTCCAGGATATAACTACCTATATTTCAGTCAATATATGATTATCTTTTGTTAAAAAGAAAAAAAAACTTATGGATCACTGGACTTCTATTAAACAAAATTTCACCAAGGAAAGAGAGAAGGCTGGAAGAGAGAAAGAACAATAGCAAATATTGACAACAAAAATTTTCTTCAAAAGCCATTATAATGCACCCTAAAGACCCAATACATCGTCATAGAAAATTCAACCAACAAATTGGTTAGATGACCTAATTTCCCTGTCCCAAATCTCATTAAGTAAATGGCAATCAGAATAATTACATTAAACTTGAAAGCACTAAACTGGATTCCGATGGAAAATAGGATCTCTGACAATTCCAAGGCGGCTTGATACATAAGGATATGATGATCCATCAATGATCATGTGAATAGGAGTGCTGCATTTAAATTTTATAAACATGCAGCCCTTATAAAGGGACCCAAATAAAAGTAAACTATCCTATGGTATGTAAAGCAAACAATAAAAACACAATTACACGACTAAGTTACGCGAATTGAACACAATTAACTTATCTTATAGTAGAACACAAAAGACTATATATCATCCTAAACTGCTTTCATTCCTCTTTCAATCAATTGAGCATCCCTCATTTTCAAGCTGTAAAACAGGGTCCTACTCCTACACCTAACTGAAGCTTGCTATCCTAATATTTATATCTATAAGCATTTGGATGGCACTGACTTTTATCAATTAAGGATCAAACCTCTCTTGTATAAGCAAATCATTAACATGAGTGATGCATCATAATAAGGCAGTATCAGAAAATGCAGTGTGTAATTTCAACCAATTCCTTCAGCATTCACAAACAATGGACAGAACATCAAACCAAGGGACAAACTTCAAGTAGATTATGTGTAATGAATTTCTGGTAGTCATGATAGTCATGCTTCATAAAAAGAAGAATTAATGTCTTCTAGTGGTGAAAACATGCATGCCAATTACAGTCTACAGATATACCATCAGTCTATAAAAATGAACAAATATATTGATAGAGAGCTACCTGTGCAAATAATACAACAACGTACATCAAACAACTGGTTGATCAGTTTTGTACTTGTTGTTACCTGTTGCTTCGTGAAATCATAATTGTCCAGCTGGTGAGCAACCACGATAGCTTGAGTAAGAGACAGAGCCATTACCTGGTAAGTACACAGCAGAAAATTGCTACATTATCAAATTTATTGAACATAATGGGAGCATCGATATAGCGGGAATACATGGAGATGCCGGCCGGGCCTGGGAAGAGCTACGTAGGAAGGAGAACGTGCCCCTTCTTCCATCTACTGGCTCTTTCATGGCGTGATTTATGGCTTCCCTTGCAGTCTCCACCAGCGACCTGAAACAACCAGCACGATCACAATTAGTGACCATTTGAATTGAATCGAGATTCAATGAGAGTGGAAAGGGAGTTGTGGCAACTTATTCCCTGAATTTGACCAAAATTTCTAGTTAGGGTATATGAAGAGGCGGTCAAAAACCCATTTAGGGAAGGGTACAAACAGAGCATTTAATTAAAGGGTTGAAATCAAAAGGGAGGTACATCTGATCTGAATCTCCCATGGCGGCTTCGTGAGTTGAGGAAGAAAACTGGTCCATCAAGCAGTTTCCCCTTCCAGATTCAACTCCCTCGTGAGCCCTTTACCCTGCTTCTTGTTTCAATCCCATGGAAAAGAAAGCAAAATCTAGTGTAGATATGATCCCTCTCTACCATGCCGTCTTCAATTTTGCAGAGTGGAGGAAGCAAACTGGTCCGACTCTCCCATGGCGGCTTCGATTTCGTGAGTCCTATGAAGAGAAAGAAAAAGCCAGGAAAATCAACATGGCTATATTTTATCCATCTCTCCCATGGCGGCTTCAATTTCACGGAGTTGAGGAATCAAACTGGCCCTACTCTCCCATGAGGCTTCGATTTCGACGGTGGACCAAGCTCCTCTCACACCAACCGAAAGTTCAACATGAGGGAGGAGATAGGTGGCAGGAGGGTTTGAAATTTTTTATTCTTTTTTGGCCGAAAGGGGGGTTTTGATTTGACGTAGAAGAATAAAGAGAAGAGACGGGGGTTTATGGGATAAGATTTCAACGGCTGAAAATAGTTTGATCAACGGTTCTGTTTAACCTGCCCAAAGGGCTGTGTATGGGTTTACAGTGCAACTGCTCACATGTGAGTTGGCATCCTCCGTGAACAGTAATCTCCGATTTTTTCTTAATGAACAGTAAATTTCGTTTTTGGTAATTTTTGGCTACTTGTGGATTAATAATTCTAACTAATATCGACATTGTTATACAATGGGGATTTAACTAATTTAGTTAGCCTTTCGGGTTTGGAATCTATACGAACTTATCAGCTGGTTTGATATGTGGCTTGTTTGCTAGTCTATAGTGTTGACGTGAATTACTCTATTTTCTAACTTAAGTTTATACATGAACTCAACAAAACAACATTATACAAAAATTATACATGTGGTGTCGAATAACACGCTTTAGACAACATAACTTTGGTCCTGATCCCTTAAACAACAGGTCAAATGGTCAATGCTCTTTGCTAAGACCTTCCACGAATTAATCGAAATCCACATGAAAAATCGAAATAATAATGTAACGACGAGCAGACTAATCACTAGAAACAAACAACAACCTGCAGACTCTCAGAAGAAACAACGTACACCACCATCAAGACTCGAACTCGTGCATCTTACCTAGTCACTAACCCAAACCCTTGCTCGCCCAAATCAAGATAACTTACCCTCTAGACAACAGAACAGGTCGATGCTCTTGCTCCGGTCTTCTTCTTCTTCTTCTTCGAAATCCAGATGCAAAACCGAAGCGTGTCGAGCAGACTAATCACCAGAGACGACAGCAACCAGGCTCCCAGAAGAAACGCCACCACCACCGCGACTCGAACTCGCGCATCGTTCTTCGTCGGGGTCACCAACAACGCACCAACCGCGAAAGCAGCCGTCATGCAGCCGAGGGCGGCGCACATGGCTTGCGCCATCATCCAGATGAAGAACCTTTTCCTCAGAGGGAACCCGCCGATGATGAGAAGCATGACGCACAGAGACGCGCCAAACGCCATCGTGTTGAGCCCCATGAAAACGTAGAGCACTTCCGGGTCTCTGTAAGCGTGGACCGAAGTCCCGGCCCTGCACAGGCCGCTGGTCGTGTTCTGGCAGCCGAAGCCGCCGTCGGGGCTCACCACGTTTTCTTGCCACACGCCGCCTGGCGGGTTGGTTGCGGCCTGGAAGCTCATCTGCGCCATGAGGCCGGCCACGACGAGGAGCGATCCTTTCATGTCGTCGATCCACTTGGGGTCGTAGTCGAGGAAGTTCTTGAACCGTTGGCCCATCGACTTCGTTGCTGGTCTGCCCATGTTGGTTGCTAATGGTGATGAGGAAGATATTGGTAACGAAGGAATTTTTGGTGGTGGTGGTGGTGGAAGATGATGATGATCGGTGCTGCTAGTCATGATCTCCTTGGCTCGTTTACCTCCTGCTTCGACCAGAAGGTCTCGGATTCGTAGGCTCTTGAAGTCCTTGGGACATAGCTCCAGGCAGTCCAAGGCTGTCGAGCCAAACCCGTTCAAGGAATTCACTGCTGCTCCCATGCTAGGTAGTGAAACCAGGTAACTTGTGGTCTGAAATTAAACATGGAATTTGACGTGTTAGACTGAATTCTAAGTAGCCAAATGAATGGTTAATACGTACTTATAGGGCTGGCTATAAAAACTGGCCCTAGAGATATCCACCGTACCAGGTCCAGTCTGATTCGACCTTGATATGGTCGGGTTGAGTCAATTTGTCTGTGAGGTCAGTTTAGCGTTGAATTATCTTTTGATCATGTAAGGATTGGGTCGTGTCACTTGTTGATCAAATGACCCATATAAAAAAACGAATAATATGAAATTCCCCATATCACATTGGACATGTTTGTAAAGTTTTAAGAGTTTAGATACTATAATACAACGTAGTAAATGACAAAGCGTCAATTTGATTGATTTGAGCTGGTCCATTAACTCAGATCGTTCCAATCTGATTGTATTTAGAAAGAATCAGTACCTGAACTTGCTTGAACATGGCAGCTGAATGCAAAATGGTGTTCCCATCTCCATCTCCCGACCTGAAGATGGATTCAATCACATCCTTCTTCCCGCCGCTACTCACCATCATCTCAACCAACACCTTCAGGGCCTCCAGATGGCCGCACTTCACGCACAGGTGCAGAACAGTCTCTCCATCGTCCAGCTTCACAAGCACAGACTCCGGCCTCGCACCGACAAGCTCTCTGACGACGTCGCTCCTGCCTCTCATCGTCGCCAAGTGGAGAGGAATCCTGCCGTCCACGTCGCGGACCAGGCAGGCATCCGAGCCCACACCGCCCAGCAAGGCCCCGACGATCTCGCAGTGGCCGGCGGCGGAAGCCAGGTGAAGCGGGGTGCAGTTGGACGCGTCGACCTCCATGGCCATTCCAGGGTCGTGGCGGAGAAGCGCTCTAGTGAAGTCGAGGTGGCCGGCGAGGACGGAGATGTGGAGAGGGGTTTCCGTGAAGGAAGAGAGCGGGAGTTTCTTCAGGATCAAATTGTCCCTCCGGAGCATGTCCTTGTGTTGGGAAATCAGAATTCAGTGAAAATTATCGTGTTATATTACTGAAATCACGTAAAACTTAAACATAGAATACAATGACTATCTCCTACAACATAACATAAACAATCTCGTAAAGTATAACATATTACTTCTTCGTACTATCCATACTCTAATTAATACCTGAAGGGTTTCGGTGTCGCCTCTCATTGCTGCATCGTAAAGGGCCGACGGATCGACTTTGTTGGTCTTGTTGATCTCCATTTTTGGTCCTTGTTAATGGTGGGTGTGGGTGGGTGGCTCTCTAGCTAGACACTGCTTGGTCTTTATATAGTGCAGCTTTTTGAGTAGTTTGTTATATTTGACGACCAAAAGACAGTCCCAAGTCCCAACCCGTGGGTTTTGGAAACCGGCCGCCGGCGCCGCCTAGTGGTAAGAGAGGCAACTTGTTCCGTCATGTGGGATACAAACAAACAAAAGAGGAAACATATTGGAAGCAGCAGCAGCCAATGGAATGATATTGACCGATTGTGGGGGGAAGAAAAAATGTAACCCCGCCGCCGCCACCATGAAATCCACCAATAGTCACAATGATACTGTCATACTGGTAAGCGAGCGCAAAATTATTACCGTTTGAAGTTTTGACTTATAGATGTAGATCGATCGGACGTTCTGGCGATTTTGGAGGGGGGCTAGATTGCTGGGCTCAGCAGCGATCCAGGTGGATTGCTTTGGTTAGCCGCGATTTGTGTTGGTGCGAGGCTGGTTCGTTTTTGTCGTTCGCCACCCAAATTGTTTCGCATTATACTCCAGCGAACCGTGCCAAACCTGTATATTTTGATAATTTTGGTATTAAGTATTGTATATTGGAAATAATTATTAGAAGTCTTGGACATTGAGAAAAAAATTGCTAGTTGATCAAGTGGGCGTAAATAGAACAAAAAGAGAAGACAAGTCCGAACCCGCAGTAGGCATATTGTGGAAAAGTCCAAGCAGCTAAGGAATTTCCACAGGAATTTCCAAGACAAGAAACTTCCGACGACCATCACTGACTCACTGTCCATAAGTCTTTGTCAAAAGACGATATTATCCACAGTCTGACTCATATACCTTGGTTGATTTCCAGAACTTTGGGCTCGTTGGTAAATGGATATTGGCAACAACAGGTCCAACGCAATCGGCCCATAAACAAGTGAATGTTAAGTATGGGCTTGCTAATTGAGTGACTGCTCACGTTCTCCTCCTTTCATGGGCTTTTGTAACTTCTTGAATAAAAAAAAACAAATAGGGGTTCTATTGGCGAGAGGCCCATGTTCTCCGGATCAAACTTACGTTTAAACTTTAAATTGATTGTACCCAATTGAATACAATGTGATTTAGTTTTTAATTTTTATCCATAAATTTTATGAATAGAAAGAAAAAAAAACAGGTTGACTTTCGAACCGAATCATAATGAACTGAAAGTATTATTGATCTAATTTTTGTTCGTAAAATGTCTTTCACTATTAAACCCTTGTTCTCATGAGCTTGTTCCTGTTCCCAGCATGTTGCACACCTGTGGTTAGCAAAAGTTTGGCTGTTATTTGCATCTTTTCTATCGTTTTTTTTATGACAAATCGTGGTTCAACTGTTAATACCGTCTACCGACTTAACCTCCGATACTGGTATATTGTGGTTTAACCGCTTTGTACGACGGTTTCATGAACAATTGTACGTAATAAAATCCCACAGAAGGTACCCTTTCAAAGAAAAATGTAGATTCCGAAGGGAAAGAGACAAAAGACGTGAATGGAATATCTCTTCGGCCGGCAGCACCCATAAGATATTCCGATTGGTTTAATTAGTATCATTACCTCATCATCAACGGTTAATTAATCTCCTTGTTCGGCTTAATTTATTCCTGGCATTTTATGCTGTTTGGGTTAGTTATTATTCTATTATCACTTCCCTTGCATTTTTGTCCATATGTAAACATATGGTTATTGAAGTGATCAACACCAACAAAAAACTTGTCAAAAAAGTTTTGGACCGTGGCTAGTGGTGTATATACATATACTGCATAGGATGTATCAATCATGAGAGCCAACGTTAAACAGGAATTTGTCCATTCTGCTCAGCGGTTAGGCCGAAGCCCTATGTTTTCGTAAATGAATGATACGAGATTGAATTAAATTTTGAAAGTTTCTCAACAATTTGAGTTATTGTTATAACCGATTAGTTTTTAGCATCATTTAAAAGTTGAGAACGATGCGTTAATTTTCAATTTAGAAATCTCATATTCGAATCATTAGAATAAATGAACTTTTCCTCCCTTAACAGTGTGTTAAAAAAGGTATAAAATATTTGACTTAGCAATTGAAAAGACGTAAGCAATACTCTAATGTTAAGTGCCAATTGGATTGGTATAACATGAACAGAAAATGGACATTTTTCGTCCATGGAAAGCTCTGATCAACATATAACGACAGAAAATGGTATCAAATCCGGAAATCGAAAGCAGTAGTACATTACAAAGCATATATTGCTAACCAAAGAAACCAGTTATCTCTCAATTCTCCCAATAAACTACATCAATGGCGCTCAATCTGTTAAACTGCAGAATAGAAAGCCGGCCGCCGCCGTCCCTTCCGCCGCACCACAGTAGCTTTCACCATCATCATCTCACCACTGTTCTTTCTTCCACTTTCAAGGTCTCTGCCTCTGTTCATCCTCATTAATCTCATGTCAATTCGTAGAATTATATTACCAATGTGTTTTTTTCTTCTTCAAAATTTTGGGGTTTTAATGTATGATCGATCGATGAATGAAGCAGCCAGTGTTGAGAGACTTGCAACAGCTGAACATCATCCCCCAGAAAATTGATCATGATCAGATCAAGAAGGCTCCTGGGAAGCTGTTGGATGCTTTTGTTGATTCTGTCTTCCAGTTCCTTGATCAGCCCTTGCTCCCATCTCAGGTTATTATACATTTATATGCATATACTCTCATTAGTTTGTGTCTGATTTCATCATGATCCAAACGGTAAAGCAGTTGGTTTTCGACTCGGAAAAGCTTCCAATTCAGATCGTAATTAACCAACTGCATATTTCGTGACGGCGTTGTTGGTCGCTGAAGGTCCCAAATACTAGTTGCTAAACAAATTGTTTTTGCGACCGTGGATGCCGTCCCAAATATATTTTCTAACAAACTTTCTGCGACGAAAGACAAACTAGGTCGTCCCAATAGTTTCCGTCACTAAAGGGTTGAGGCCTCAAAACTGATTTCATTCTGCAATTATTACAGAGTAACTTTGCGCCGGTGGATGAACTGAAGGAAGCAGTTCGAGTGACGGCCGTAGAGGGTACAATTCCGGATGATTTCTCCGAGGGAGTTTATATAAGAAATGGTAATTAATTAAGTATTGTTGCCCATATACTTCATTATCAATATCGTTTTCAAACTCACTTATTTTGATTCCTAGACGATATCGACATTGTTATACTATGTGGATTTAACTTTAGTTAGCCTGTCAGGTTTGTAATACATTACGGACTTATCAGTTGGTTTGACATGTGACTTGTTTGCTAGTCTAGAGCATTATTGATATGGATTACTCTGTTTTCTTCTGGCTTAAGTTTATACACGAACATGGTGACATAATACGAAAATTATACCGCATGTGGTGACGATAACACGCTTTGGGCGGTACTTGTAAGTTATAACTGTTCAAGGGGTGATCGATTCTCGAATCGTGATTAGAATCGGGAGAAAGTGGCATTTGCAGGACCTAATCCTATGTTTGGAGGATTGAAATCAACGAGATCCGTGTTGGGAAGGTCAAGCCACATATGGGTAGAAGGAGAAGGGATGCTCCATGTCCTCTACTTCCAGAAGCGCAGTAGTGATGGCGAATGGAGCGTCTTCTACAACAACAGGCACGTGGAGACAGAGACCTACAAGATGGAGAAAGACAGGGCCAAACCTTCCTTCCTTCCTGCCATTGAAGGCCATTCCCCTGCCATCTTAGCAGCCTACTTGTTCAATCTGGTGGGTAACACTTACAAAACTCATTAACAACAACGATTAATGCTAATTGAGAGAGTGAGTCTGTTGCTACAAATTCTGAATTGGGTTGTTGATGTAAAATATGGGTGGATATAGATGAGATTTGGGAAGGTGAACAAGTACATCAGCAACACAAACGTCGTGGAGCATGGTGGGAAGTTCTACGCAGTGGCTGAGAATCATGCTGCACAAGAATTCGACATTGTCACGCTGGATACGATTGGGGATTGGGACGTCGATGGAGCTTGGAATCGACCTTTCACCGCCCACCCTAAGGTAGTTTTATCATACATTATGCGATTATTGCTTGGAGGATGGAAAAATGGGTAGTTGATTTTACATTCATTTTGATGGCATAATCTGCAGAAAGTGCCTGGCACTGGCGAGCTGGTCATATTCGGGGTGCAGGCTTCGAAACCGTTTGTAGAACTGGGAGTCATTTCTGGTATGAAACTCAACTGTAGTTGTTTTGAAAAAACCCTATTAGGCAAATTAGTTAGTCGTTCTGGTTATGGATACTGAAAATCCAGAGTTTTTTTTTCAGCTGACGGGGAGAGATTACTCCATAAAGTGGATCTGAATCTCAGCAGATGCACCCTCTGTCACGACGTTGGGATCACGGAGAGGTAATGATGTAACTCATTTCCATTTTTCCATGATGAGAGCTGGTTGAACGATGTTGAGGCATTTTTTATTCAGAAACTACTGGTTTGGTGGCATGATTTTGCAGGTACAATGTGTTCATGGACTTCCCACTCACTGTAGACGTTAACAGGCTGATCAGGGGAGGACCGTAAGTGCACGGAAAGCTGTTGAATTTTTTTTTTTTTTTGGTCCTCCTCCCACACTTTCTCAAGATTGAATTCCTCTCTCCATATGATCACCTTTTGAGGAGCTAAGTTAATCAATGAACAGGTTGATCAAGTACAACAGAGAAGATTATGCAAGGATCGGGGTGATCCCTAGATACGGCAATACAGAGTCGATTCGATGGTTCGACGTGACACCCAACTGCACATTTCATATCGTGAATTGTTTCGAGGACGGAAACGAGGTAAGAATGTCAGAAAGAGTCACATGTCAAGTACATAAAAAAAAAAAACGTTACTGATGTAAGAGAATTCAGTGTCCACTTGTCAAATCTATGTTTCATAGATCAGTTTTAATGGAAACTTAACAGTTTGTTTGAATGCAGGTGGTGGTGAGGGGATGCAGGGCTCTTGATTCAATCATTCCAGG